TATCATCACTGGCCACATGAGCAATATTTGGAGAATATTACTCAGTGTAGTTACTCGAGGCTAAACAGGGAATTTTTATGATTTTCTGTGTAGAACTCTTCCAGGAGCAATGCTGGCTGTTAGAAGAACTTACCTGCCCCAAAGCTGATAATCCCCCCTGCCCTTTATATTAACTGGTCCAGTAACAAATGCTTCCTTGTCCCACAAGCTGTACCCCATTTGGTGCTGACAGCTGCTGTTTCTCGAAGCAATACTGAACATTGAGTGTCTTTTCCTTAACTGTAGGAAAATGAGGCCACTCCAGGCATGTCCTTGTACCTGACCTTACTGAGGTAGTCTTCTTGTGTCATCCTGACTGCTTGCTTTTAAATGAGCTTTAGTGAATGGCTGCCCATTTGGATATTTGGATGTCCAAAACCTAAAGGATTATTATGATAAAGAGCAAGAATTTGATAGAAAGCAACAGCTGAAACATGAAAAAAGGGCAGAAATGTTCTTTGCCCTGTGCCTTGTCTACTCCTTGAAGTCAGGAGAGCATTTCATACCTGTTTTGTGATCCWGCAAGTGGCTTTTTAAGGTGCAAGGACTGTGCCCAAAATGTACAACTGCTGTGTTTTCATGCTGTGGTCAAGACTTGCTGATCTCTTTGCATGACTCTTCAAAGATCTTATTATTGCTAGTGAAACCAGTGGGTTTAGAGCTGCTGTTTTGTTTGCTTAAATGRGAATGTTCAGGTGACAGCGATCTCTAAAAGCTTCGCCATATTATTTGATGTAAGGCCAGCTGGAAGGCCTTGGTTTTCTCCATGTAATTTTGTGAGGCAGCAGGCCTTTCCAATAATTATCCTCGCTCTATTTCAATCWAATACTGCTTGAAACTTTGGCTCAGTGTGACAGAGAGCATGCAGCAATAGCTGTCATCTCAGAGCCAGCAGTGCAGACCAGACGTCTGCTGCTGGGGATGTCTCTCTCTCAAATGCTTTCATACTGCTGCAAAAGGTGCTTTATTTCCTCAGCTTATAAACATGCACCAGGCACAGCTTCCAGGACCAGAAGAGCTGTCTGTATTTGAGAGAACAGGGACACCGGGCTTGCTGTCAGATTTGATGATTTTAGTAAAATCTGCTGTCACAATAACACGGATACTGCTGTTCTGACTTGCCCACAGAGTTCATTGAGGAAAACAAAACCAGAGGCAATTGATCATTCTAAACCTCACTGCCTTGATTGATCCATACACTCAAGAGGCAGGGTATCTTTGCTGTCATAAACCCCAGAAAATGTGTGCAACTTTGTATTTAAAAAAAGGCATTGAAATTTATGAGAGCAGCTAGGAAAGCAACCGAGAAGTACTGGTTTGGGGAGCTGCCAGCCAGCACCTCAAGTGACTGATCTGACTACAGAGTCCATCAGTTTCCCRTGTATATTACTGCTGCTAGCTTGGCTTTCACAGTCATTTTTAAGGCAATAATTGTCCTAGCAAATCAGCAATATAATTTAACTACTACTGTCTAACCTAGTTTGATGGTCATCCATTTTCTAAAGTCACCAAATTTTATTTTTTTTTTATCCACAATACCATTATACCAAAACATACACATATTTAAGAAAAAGAAACACCTTTATAGAAATGTTGATAGTGCTTCGCAATCCACTGTCACGGCTGGGGCTGTCAGACATTGCTGGAGGTTTCCCCGCTTGAAAACTCCCCTGTAGTGCTGGGYAGAACAAACTTGACGTATCTCCCCTTCTCCCAGCCCCTCCTGATCCGCAGAAGTCTGTGCTGGATGCAGGGCAAGCTGAAGATGATTTTTGCAATGATGACAGTGCAGGGGACGAGCAGTGTGAGGGTGTAGGTCGGGGGCAGGTAGAATTTGTACTGGCTCTCGTCAAACGCCCTGGACCAGCCGTAGGTGAGCGTGTGCAGGGTGCTGATCACCAGGGCAATGAATCCCAGGGAGGACTACAAAGAAATGAAACACACACCAGTTAGCAGAGTACCTTGGGCCTGGCTGTTTTCCTGTGTTTTTTTACGTTATTTTCTAAGTGTACATGACACAGGGAAAGGAATGAGTATTCCTGCGTTTCTTGGACAGAATAAAACATGACTGGGAACCTTTCCTGGGTAGAGTGCCAGAGTGCGTTTTTCTTTGTCTAATCAGAGGTTAAGGTGACTTTAGAAGCTCAGCAGGAATTTCCCAGGAGGTGCTGCCAGCTCAGCACAGAGCGGGGGCTCCTGTATCTGTGTGAAGCAGCAGCCCCAGCCCCTGCTGAGCTGGTGGGCACAAAAAGCTCCCAAGCTCTGCTCCTGCCAATCCCTGGCTGGCTGAGGCTGCTGACCTGCAGGAAGAAGCATCAGTGTTGTGGATTTGGACCACAGTTGGCACCTTGGGAAATGGGTGAAGCCACAGCTCCACACGGAGCAAAGACATCTTCAGGTGAYTGGTGTCATCTACAGGAAAATGAGATGGGGCAGGCAGAAGTGCTCTGTTCTGRGGTGAGCAACAGCCCTCAAGGGTTCCCTCCTCTGCCTTGGAGATCTGTGTTGGTTTGTGAGCCAGATCATCAGGCTGTGTGATGGACCAAGCCCTTGGAATGGGGAGTCAAAGCCCTTTATCCACTCAGGGARGCAGCGAGATGCCAACCTCTGTTCTATAGACAAGAACTTCCCCCAATTCCAGCTGAGATCGTGCTCCCAAGCACCCACACAGACAACACTTCTGAATATTTTCAGCTCACTCTGAGAGTTGCTCTCAAAGATAGGTTTGAAATTGTTTCCCTCACTGGTGCAGATAAATAAGGGACCAGGGCRAGATGGGAGGAAGGACTCATTGTCTTTTGAAGAAATAGCTTCAGCTAACAAACTACTCCATTCAAAGCTTCCCCTTCTATTTTTGATTGCTGAGATGCAATTAAAAATTCCAACTTTTAAAAATGTACCACGTTGTTASCAAAAAAATAGACCAAGACTCCTCTAGACTTCAGAGTTAATCTTTCAAGCAGCTGAGGGCACTGGGCAAGGGAGGGAAGGAGAGTTCTAAAATGTGTTACCAGATCTAGGTACTTCACTTTTACAGTATCTATCAGGCAGTCCTGTGGGTGTCGCTGAGTCCTGCCAAGGCAGGGAACTGTTCTCTGTGTTACAGCCAAGCATTGCTAAAGGTCGTGCCAGGAGCTGGGAACAGAGCTGGGAACTGAACCTCAGTCCTGTGTGCAACCCCACACTTACCCTTTCTTTCACAGACAGATTATTTCTCACCAGAAGCCACATCCATGTCCTAAACCAAGGTGGTACCAAGCAGCAAACCCAACAGGGTCAAGACTAATTGCACTTGGAAAATTAAAGAGGAGTTTGCTGAGATTTGCCGTGGTCACAGTTAAACCTAACAGCAGGACTTGACCCACAAATCATCCATCATTTATAGGCTGAGCTTCTCTCTAACAGGCAAAAACCCCTTGGATGGCAAAAGGTTGGGGGTACCAGTTTAGGACTCAGGTGGCAAAGCAGGGAAGGGCAAAGGGGACAGAGGGAATCCAAGGGCAGCAGAAGCAGGGCAGGGGGTGTGCTCGCACTCAGCCCGAGCAGACTCTGCATGGCAGAGATGGCAGAGCTGGAGATAATTCCTCTGTTCCTCCACAGCTTCTCTGTAACTGCTGCAGGTAMCGGGGGAGAGCAGGACTGGAAATGAGGAGGACAAATGTGACAAACCATCAGAGGCACTCCGTGACCACCTTTGTGTGTGGATGGCGGGGCAGGGATGAAACAAAGAGGCAAATTGGCAGCAAACACAGGGCTAAGGTGCTGGTCTGCTGATGGTATCCCAACACAAAACAGGAGCTGGCTGGGGCGAGCAGGGGTGCCTGGGGGTGCCAGTGCTGATTCTGGCTGCAGGACCATGGCTGCACCCGCCAGACAGGCTGACAGCTCTGTACGTGCACAAACCCCAAAAGTTTTGCTGATTTGCAGCTTGGCTCGGTACACACAGCTCAATATACACTCAGTAAAGCACAGTGCAGAGCCTGCTGAGCACCTCAGGGGGCCCATTTGCCAACCTGCTTAGCCCTGACACCACTCTTTTGCTCTCATTGATCCTCTCTGTGCAGTTTCTGGCTATGAAATCTTTCYGGGTTTTGTTTAAAACAGCGGCAAAGGTTTCTCTTTTGTACTGTCACAACACCAGGAGTGTGGGGCCAGCACCCCTGAAGGGTGTTAAAGCCCTCTGAAAGATGCAGTTTATGGATGGTATTCCTGATGCAGGCTTTGCRTGTGTTTTCTATTCACCATGAACTCTTCCCCCATTCCCCCTGTAATGCATCAGCAAAGGTGATCTGGTCGTGGATGTGGAAATATCACGTAAAACAAGCAGGTTACAGATCTCCTGGCTCATTTAGAAATGCCTGGGCAGCACTGGCAGCAAAGAGCCCCTTCCTGACCCAGATAYGTTTCTGACTGGTGCAGCCATCAGTACTATGGAATTATGAGCTCAATGGAAGCAGCTCTGGCCCCTCTCACCACGTCGACAGGAGGGTTAGAAAAGGTCTGATTGCAGATTCTTTACATCTTATGCTACATGAACTATGAAAGAAACCAGGTCAATTCAACCTTCAAATTCCAGGAGGACTCCTCAAGATGGGAAGGTAAAGGCAATCATACACATTTTTACTTCTCAGGCAATTAGAGCTGATTTGTAAATGACTGGGGAACATTAAAAATGTCTCCTATAAGTTGAATTACATACAAATCATTCCTGTTAGCCAGTGTTTCRGTCCTGTGTATTTTCTGTTAAAACTGGACACACAGGGGAACTGTGTATCCAATKTAACTATATTTAATTTAACCTTGTGTATGGGCAGGAGCTATTATGAAAACCAACTTTTTTTTTCCTATAACTTTTGCCACAATACACATGGAATTTTCAACTCATCAAGCAGCAGAGTGCATTTTAAGACTGGCACTATATGGCACTAATGCAGGTGTACACACTGGCTGCTGGAAAATGTCAGGCCTAGGAAGCTCTGGGTAAGGAGGGGACTAAAGGGGCTCCAGAATTTATCTCACATGTGGCTTTTAGTACAGCATCTCTCAAACACCATCCAGTTCAGCTGAGATGGGAACAAACTATGGCATTTTCTGGAAGGCATCTGGCTGGAATGTCTGCACTCTGCATTTCACCTATTTTGTGCTGTAGAAGTGCTAGAAATCCCAAATATTTGAGAAAGCAGCCTCATGCTTCACCCCTTGTATTTACATTGTGCCTCTGTGCATTAATTTAGGGAGGTTCACACTCAGCTMTGTGAATATAACCTCTGGAGCCTGGAAGCAGGAGCTGTAGCTGCTTTTTAAATTTCCTCAAGAAAGGCACCACTGACTTGTTGAGGAGTAAATAATTTAAAAGATCCCTCATTAAAAAAAAAAACAACCAAAAACAAAACATGGAAGCTAACATGCCAGCAGATCTGTAACCTGCTCTTTTCACATGATGTTTCCACAGTAAGGCACAACACCGGCCGTTCCTCTCCTGCATGTGATCAGCTGGGATCGTGTCGCGCTGTCACGCTTTATTCCATGCAGACAGAAATAGGTGGGAGTATCTTTCCATGAACTAAGCCAGCCAGGTCCCATGTGGGGCAGCCAAGAGCTATTTTGGAACCGACCATCAGGTATTTGTCTGGTCCCAGCAGTGACATACCCTTAGAAAGGCCCGGGAAGGTGTTACACGCCTGCCACCACCACGTGCGTGTTTACAGGACACAAGGCCAGCACGCCCCAGGACAGCTGCCAGGCTGCCTGGGSAGCCAAAGGGAAATGCAAGGGGTTTCAAAGCCTCCTTCCAGGCTGCAAGGAGATACTTCCCTTCGTTTGGGATTCCTGGTATGAGATGCCTAAGTCGGGATKGATTTATCCAATGTCCCAGCAGCTGCAGCCCTCCCCTGAGACATGGGGCTCAGAATTAATATGCTCCCACTGTCCAATCTGAAAGAAAGGTTTAAAGCCAGGTCTCCCTTCTCCTCAAGGGTTGATCTCTTGGGGTCAAGCTCTCCTGGTGCAGCTCTTCTACTCAGTGTAAATAATTACTGGCTAGCCCACAGCAAGAGGGGAAAGGACACAAACTGGATTGCTTGACTGGTGATCGGGGCACTCGCGGGAGAAGCAGGGGAGCAGGCTTCAAACTCCTGCTCTAATGAATATTGAATTATTTATATAGCACTGAGGAGCTCCAACAGAGCTTAGCAGAGGCTGGATGATAGRTATTCACCTCTGCATCCCTGCACCCTGCCCTTCCCTTTGGAAGGGTGAGGTGTGTGCCACGGTGGTGCACAGGGAGGCTGCGGAGGGGATGGATCCTGCAGGGCTCAGGCATGTTGGGTGCCACGGGGGTCACGGCAGTGGCACATGAAGCCTGGTGCATGCTAAGCAGCCCTGGGGTAGGAGGCACTGGTAACAAGGGGTTTKAGGGCTGTGGGATGTGACTGTGACACACTAAGTGGAATCTGGCTTCAAAATCAGCTCKAAGGTGCAGGGGATGCTCAGAAGGTTCATTCTCTCTATCCCCATTAGTTAGCCCTAAGCCTGGCTCCAAATGCATCCCTGGAAATGCTGCACCCACTGAATCTGGGGTCTGTGAATGTCCCATGGGGTAAACTCAGGTCATTCAGGGAATTTGGCCCTTGGGAAGTTGGCCATCACTGCAAGGGGGAGGAAGGATCCTAAACCACTGGGGAAAAACTACATTCCTAATTCAGTTTTTAGAATCAGTCATGGCCTTTTCATTGAAATCACACCCAGGTCTCTGGACTGCTTGGGCTCTGGCACTTTACAGACCACTCTGAGCTTTTTAGACTTGTTCTACTGAACACTTGGGTGYGTGCAAGCTCTGCCAAACCTGTCTTTCCCCTGCAGTGTCCTGCCAGGTGCTTTCCTTTTCATCAGCTCACTCTCCCTGAAATGCAGGGACAGATGTGTGTTCCACAGCCAGCTCTCCCTGCCTGCCCCACACAGCCTGGTGTTCCCCACAGCAGCTCTGCTGATCCTCGTGTGGCTGCCCATGACACCTTGCATTCTCCCTTCTGCTGAGAAAAGGATACACCCTGTGTGAGAGCAGCACAGCCCCAGGACACAGCACAGCCCCAGGACACAGCACAGCCCTCTGCCCCTCACTGCCCCTGGGTCTCACCTCCTGTGGCCCTGGGGTGCACAGGAAGGATTTGCTGCTGCCATGGCAGAGCAGAATGTGCTGGGAAAGCAGGGGAACCCTTCCCTCCTTGGTCTGTGTGAGGGTCTGMCTCTGACTGCAGAATCACCCTCTGGCACCAGCAAATGTCAACTTTACCTGAATGAAACTGAATTCCCTCCAGTTGAGAGAGTTTGCGATGGATGGAAGTGAAGTGATGGCAAGTAACGACAGCAAGCCCAGGGCAATTATTCCAACAGAGATATAAATCTCCATCCTCCAGACTTCCTCCTCTACCCAGATTGTCATCTTCTTCTCCACAGCCTGGCATGACAATGAAGGTTTGTTAAAACRGAGCGCTTAGGGACAGACGAACTGAATTTTATCTGTTGTGGTTTTGGAAGCAGGTTTCCTAGATGAGCACTGGGTCCTATTCCCACCTCATACAGGCACTATTTGCCTGTTTGGGAGATGTGGAAACGTTTTCTTATCCCAAAGCCATTTGGCCAAAACTAAACCTGATTTGAAGCCTGCTGGGAAGAACTGCTGAATGCTCTCAGCTGCCATGCCTGTAACCACAGCAGCAAGCCCCAAAGTCTCATTTGGAAAGGTAATTACAATGAGAACTCAGTTTAAAGCCATGAAAACAAATACAGATGCTTGAATATGCAGTAGTCTCCTAATAACCTTTGTTTTAAGTGCGTTTATGGGGGAAATCGTTCATGCTAATGGAAGGGAAGATGGGTTTTATACTGCATGGCAAAGAGGAACATTTAGAACTGTCCTCTTTAGCCCATTAAATGGGTTTAATTTACTAAACAAAGATGTTGCTAGAAAACAGGAGGTAGAGGRGAAATGAGCACAGGATGCTTGCCTGAGATTAATGTGCAACTGCGGCAATCGAGAAGAACCTGCTCAAGGCTGGAGCCAATAGCCTGGGAACAGTGTTTGATGGATGCTTTGAACAGGCACTGCTGCCAAAATCAGCCATCCTGCTTCCCTCAGCCCCCACAGCCCCTTCCCTCCTCTTTGATGGGACAAACAATTGGCATCACTTGGGCAAATACCCAATGCAGAAAGCAGAGTGGCTGTGGGGTAATTCCTTGATCACATTCCCCACTCAGCTGCACAAAGCCTGGACCATCCCAGGAGGAAGCAGTGTGGAGCAATCAGGGGAAGGAATGAGCAAATCCCATCCTCCCACGGGACAGAGCTGGCTGAACTGCCTGAAGGCAGCAATCTCACACTGGATGAACACTGCTGAGAGTCTCCATAAAGCAATAAACTCCTTTTCCATTTCCTTGTTCTTATATAAACTGTTCTTCATCACCACTTTGCTAAACTCGTGGAGGCACATGGTGATGAGGACACACAACCCTCCCTGGGCTATAGTTACTCCAGCAGGCACAGCTGTGAAAATCAGCAGGACCAAACAGGATCTCCCAAGATTTTGGGAGCTGAAGGGAACTCGGCTCCCTTCACTGCTGCATTGTCCTCTCCTAGCATTTTTCCTGCCTCTGACCTAGTCTCAGACACASCAGTGTCTGGTTTCAAAGGCTTGTCTGTGCCTCTGGGGAGCAATAGCAAAGGGGTTTGATCCTAGCCCTGGCTGTGAATGCAGAGGGAGCTGTGCATCCACTGAGATGGCAGATCCTCAGCCACACAGGTGCGTGGTGTGTGCCTGACTCGGGGGGAAAGTACTTCTAGAGGTATTACAGCTTATTCCCCCATCCCACACCTGCTCTGGAAAATGAACTAAAAAGCCAAGACATGAAGTCTGCACATGCTTTAGAAGATTCCTGCAGGTGCTGAGCTGAGGAGCAGCCCCGTTACCTGCTTGACGGCTGTGTCGATTAGCAGGTAGCGGTGGGAGCGGCGCATGGGCAGGCAGAGGCTGTACACGGCGTGCAGGGCGGCGCAGAAGAAGCTCAGGAGGCCGATCTGCTTTCGGTGCTGGAGCCACTGGTCCAGCCAGTCCGGRAAACGCCGGTACTTGGTGCCGTAGTAGAGCTGGGAGCAGGCTGCCAGCACCCCCGGCAGGTAGACGAGGGACAGCATGACGTAGGACACGCACGGCAGCGTGGTGTTGACCACCTCGATGGGGATCTTGTACAACTTGTTCTTCTGCTCCCTGATGTAAGGGTGGATGACCTGCCGGATCAGGTTGTAGGTGAAGAAGCAAACAAAAAGCCCCAGAGCCAAAAAGATGGGGATTTTCCAGGCTGGCAAGAGGCGCAGGGGAATGTTCTCGATCTCACAGGCTGACGACATGCAGCCCATGTCCACTGGGGTGAATCCCATGACTTGAGCGATTTCTGCCACRGTGCGCTTGGCTTCTTGGTTATTTGAGCAGATCAGAACCTGCAAGGAACAGAAATACACACAGAGAGAGCAGAGAAATCAGGCTGCTGGGATYGAGTGCATCAGGAGGGATTCTGTGTCACAGGGAGCCTGTGTTATTCCACTGAACATCAGCATTCCTGGCAAGCTTTCTGACAGGGATTTACCCTGTCTGCCAAAGGCCTCTCTCCTGGACAGGTTTCCTTTCATGTGTGCACCTTACAGGCTCTGTTTAGATAAACAGACAATTGAATAACACTTTTCACTTAGGCAGGTGCTCCAAAGACTACAAAGCATGAAGTGAGTGAGGGTACTTCATATCTGAGCAAAGAAATGCAGAAACTAAGGGGTGATGTCTGGATGCCATGGCCAGCACTCAACTCCTTCTGGAGCCATCAGCACTTTGCTGATGCTGCCAGACCTCAGCCGCTGAAACAGTTGGGATTCAGCCCTTGCTGGGAGAAAACAACACAATACCTGCTTATTTCCATCYCTGGCACCCGACTGCAGCGTCCACGCAGAAACCACATTAAACCCCTTTACCACGGCGCAGGCTGGGAACAGGGAGGCCAAGTACTCCGCGTTGGATTCTTTGTGATGGTTGATCTCGGTGTTGTTACTGACATCCACCAGGATCTTGCCCGCCAGCACGTCAGCCAGGTCGCAGAGGGTGGAGTAATGTTCCCTGAAAACCGCCACAAAGATGACATCTGCCTTCTTGACCGCCTCAGCCTGGGAGGTGACCTCTGCTGCAGCAGGGAACAGGCTGGCTTTCCTCTTGGGGTTGCGGCTGCCAACCACCACCTTGAAGCCCGAGCACACCAGGCGGATGGCCAAGGACCGGGCAAAGTCCCCACTGCCCAGCACCCCCACGGTGCGGCCGGCYGGCGGCGCGGGGCTGCAGTCACCCTCCGTGCTCCCATGGCCCAGCAGGGGTTTGGCCATGTCTCCTCTGGACATCCTGGCARGAAAAACAAGGAGAAATGCAAATTCGCTGTGGATCTCTCAGTGAGACCTAGACCATGGGGAAAAATGCCACTTAGGCCACTTGAACATGTGGGTTTGGTGCCAGTAGTCAAACCCGTTTGCCAAACCCACCAGGAAGTGTGCAGTAATGTACAGGCACTGCTGCAGGGGCACAAAACACCATGCTGGGTTGGAAAGGGAAGGCTTTTAGGGAGGTTTCCCAGGGTTGTGCCATCCAACACGTGCTGGATGGCACAAACWATCCCCTCTGTCCAATCCAATCACCAATCCTCCTGCTGTCCCTCATGCTGGCATCTCACACTGCAAAGCYAGGGCAATGCTAATGTAATCAGAACCAGAAACTCTCAGATTCCCATGGGGCTACCACCTATCTCCTGAAAAAGGGGTCTGTGGAGATCCTGAGCCTACGTTTGGAAAAGCTGCAGGGGTGCATCTGATTTGCAAGAGCAGAATCAAGGCAGGGATTTCAAGTTGAAATAAAAGTGTCCTAAAAGGGGTAAAYGAAGAGAGTTGCAGCCCTTGCCTGTTCCAATATTTGGGTCTGGCAAGCGCTGTTTGCTTCAGCTCTTTAATGAGTAATGAGAACGTACTCGTGACATTTAAAAAAATATATTAAAACATGATGGGATTTGCTCATGAAAGATCTTGATGAGCTTTACAAACGTTAATGARTTTTGCCCTGTAACAGATTAGATATTGAGGGCATGGAGAGGTTTTAAGCAGATCAATAAATTCACAGGCAGCACAGCAGCTGAACTTGGAGGTCAGGAGAAACTCAATCAGGGAACTGCCAGACTGCTCAAGGGCTGTGTCAGAGGCTCAAATCTGCCTCACGACCTAAGGAATGGCAAATTTACCCTATAGGAATGGCAAATTCCTGAAGGTTGGATCTTTAGAGGGCTCAGGAGGCAGCTCAGGGAACTTACAAGCCAGGACATCTGGCTTTGGTATTGGAACATGGCTGGAGGTTGTAATGAAGACCATAATTAACAAACGGGATATACTGGGGATGGAGACAGCTTGGCTTTGCTGGAGTGCAGACTTGTAGCTGGTCAAGTTCTTTCAGAGTGGAGGTGACCATTAGGATGGGGTGACCTGGTCCCTGGCACAGGTGTGTTTTTCACAGGCCTTTGGAAATGGCCTTCACCCAAGGCTCTTCTGGGATTGGTGCAGTAGTGGTGCAAAGGGGAAGGGCACTTCTGCRTGAGTAGTTACCAATGGGAAACAAAGGGTGAGAAGAAATAAATGATTTTCATAATGGAAACAGGTTGCCAAGGGATTTCCCTGAGGATTTATGCTGTTCCATGTGCTTCTAAGTGATCTGGGAAAGGGAATGAATATTGAGAAGATGGAACTCGTGCATGGTGATCACAGAATCATAGAATGRTTCAGGTTGGAAGGGATTTAAAGATCATCTACTTCTAACCCCTTGCCATGGATAAGGACACCTTCTACTAGAGCAGGCTGGCCAAAGCCCCATCCAGCCAGGTCCTGAACACCTCCAGGGATGGGGCATCCACAGGATCTCTGGGCAACTTGGTCCCATGCCTCACCACCCTTATACTAAAGAATTTCTTCCTAATATCTACTCAAAAAAACTATTTAGGACATTCAATCTTTCTTGTGAAGGATCTGCAAAGGGATCCCCTCATTTGAAGTGTCTAAGCACCAAGTCACTATAGACTCACGGCAGGAACTGCCTATGGGCATAAACTCTTCTAACCATATGTACTTAAATGAGCTGTAAAGTTGTTAAAATCACTCAGAAAAATGATCAAAGGGTCACGTTTCTCTGAAAATACCAACTTGGTGGTCCCTGGCAGACACACATCAAACACAGCTGAATTACTGGGGGAGAAGATTTCTCACACAACAACCATAACCTCAATCCTGCTCCTCAATGAAAGCCTGCAAAACACCATCAGCAGATGGACTTTGAAACTATAATTTTCTGTCTTGGGTACAAACCCATCATGGTTTCAGTGACAATACTGTTATGGCAGAGTTCTATCTGCTCTCCTTGCCTCTCACCAAGCACCCCCTTGTCCCAGAGCCCAAAAYGTGTCCTCATGGAAGAAGTGCTATCAGGGGAAAACAATGGCAAAGAAAGGCGTGCTCACTTCTCCACTTTAAAAACACAAGTCCACTATATAAATACAGAGATCAAACAGCATGCTGCAGTTCTGCTTATTCCAC